GGGGGGGGGGGGGGGGGGGGGGGGGGGGCGTATCACGTGTATATGTGTGTCTCGGTTTGTCTGTATGTTTGTGTGTCGTTTGTCTGTATATTTGTGTGTATGTGTGTATGTGTGTATGTGTGTATGTGTGTATATGTGTGTGTACCCCCATGTGTGTGTGTGTATGTGTGTGTGTGTGTGTGTGATCAGTAACACAGGTCCATAAGTTTTTTTTTTCTGACTCATTTGGCGACCAAGTGCACTGTAGGCTTTTTCTCACCTATTTGGCAACCAAGTGCACTATAGGTTTTTTCTCCCTATTTGGGGACCGGTAGCACAGGTCCATGAGGGCTACCGGTAACACAGTGGGGTCAACTAGCGGGGTGGAAAATGCATTGAATTGCCCCTGCGATTTATTTCGTGGTTGAAATGATTTTTTCAATTGTTTAAACTATTTTTCCTAGAAAGATCACGACGAAATCTGCATACCCTCCAATGTCCAGACTTCTTGGATATATTGTATTAGACGGAAAAATCGTTGAAGTCGGGGTACTTTTCCCATTGGCCGACACATGATAGAGCAGAAAAAAAAAACAGCAAAGACCACGAAGAAATCTACAGGCCCTTTAATTTTTGGAGTTGTAGAGTCACCTTCTGAGTGCAAAAAATCGCAGAAGTTGGGGTACTTTTCCCGTTGGCCAACACGTATCAAAATGAAAAAAATGAAAAATGCAATGAAACGACGCGACCTTTATGTTTTTCCGTGAAAGATCACAACCTAATCAGGATCTCAATTTTTCATATGTTTTCTTTAATTCGTCTAATCGCTAAAAATCGCAAGAGTTGGCGCTTGAAAATTGCGGGACTGGACACGTCTGCCACACTGTGCAACGTTAGGGTTTGGACACACAGGCACATCCTGACCTGCCAGCTGTCTGACGCCGGATACACTTCATAAAGAGGCAGTCCCCAAAAACACACAGCAACCCAGTTGACCTGAGTGGTTCTCAGATCAGGCAGTGGCATATATCAAATTTGTGCGTGGGTTCAAACCCCTACGACAACCATTAGCAGTGAACTTCATAATCTTAATATGTGTGTGTGTGTGTATGTGTGTGTGTTGGGTGGGTGGGTGGGTGGGCGGGTTTGTGTGCATGTGGGTGGGTGGCTGCGCCTGTGTGTGTGTGTGGGTGTGTGTGCGTGTGTGTGTGTGTGTGTGGGCAGGGAGTGGGCTGGGTGGCTGCGGCTGCCTGCACCCGACTGGCCCGATGCCTTTTGCCATCTTGCCCAAGAAACAAATTCCGCACTGCACGAAAAGCCACGAAAGAAAAAGAAAAAAAAAAGCGGGAAACGACAAACACGCGGCCGCGCTAAGGGCCATGAAAGCAAAAGAAAAAAAGCGGGAAACGACAAACGTGCGCCACGAAACACACGACGCAAAAAACGTCGAAAGCAAAAAAAAAAAAAAGCAGGAAATGACAAACGCGCACCGCGAAACAGACGGCTCGAAAACCGTGACGACGAAAGAAAAAAGGAAAAAAACACGAAACGACAAACGAAGAACAAAAAGAAAAAGAATATCCGCACAGCGTGAAAGAGATGGAACCCGTGCGGCGAAAGAAAAAGAAACCACACAGCAGGAAACAGACGAAACCCAAAACGACGAAAAAGAAAAATAAATTCCGCACTGCACAAAAGGACAAAACAAAACAAAAAAAAATCTGTGGCCGCCGCTTCAAGATATTCCATCGCATCTACGCCCGCCGCCGCCCGGCCCCGTGGGAGCGCACACACGTTTGCTGGCGCGCTGTGAACAATTCGTCTCTGCACCCCCCACCACCCTCGATCGCCTTCATCCGCCGGCCCGCACCAAAACTTCAGCCCAATGTGGATATTTTTAATATAACATCAAATTATATATTATTATTTATGTATGCGACATGGGCCGATGGTGAGATTCATGGCAAGCCTTCCAGCTCCATCATGTGCAGGGGGGACACGGTTGATACCTGATCTGCAGTGAGTAATTATTTTTAATATAANGATGGTGAGATTCATGGCAAGCCTTCCAGCTCCATCATGTGCAGGGGGGACACGGTTGATACCTGATCTGCAGTGAGTAATTATTTTTAATATAACATCAAATTATATATCATTATTTAATTAATAATTATGCTACATGAGCCGATGGTGAGACTCATGTGCAGGGCGGACACGTTTGATACCTGATCGGCAGNCAAATTATATATCATTATTTAATTAATAATTATGCTACATGAGCCGATGGTGAGACTCATGTGCAGGGCGGACACGTTTGATACCTGATCGGCAGCGAGGGGTAGGGAATATGAATTGTGTTGTTAAAAAGAAATAAAAATAAATATAATAATAATAACAATAATAATAATGATTGAGCTTTATCATGTACACGTATAGTGTATAATGACGTAAACTGGGAGCAATGAATGACTGCAGACGATGCACCTCTCCGTAGATGGTCCGAGTTTCGGACTACGCTGACGTTGGCACTTTACGCCTGTGTGATTGCATTTTGCTCCCCAAAAAAAGGGACTGGGACATCGTTTGGAGACCCCGCCGGGCAGATGTTTGTGAAGTTAATCGTGATGGAAGGGATACCTGGGATAATGAACACGCAGACTGGCGTCCACCGCCTGTCGACAGGAGCCAGTCGACTGGAGTTGTCTTCCAATAGTAGTCGTGACGAGTTGGCCGCCTCTGTGCTTCTCCCGCCGGAGGCCACACGCAGATGCGTCACAGGGAGATTCAATTCAAGTACCCGTGCACATGCCTTGTCGGCGCCCAGAGTAAGGCCATACTCGGTCTAGCTCTTTCCTAAATGAATCTAACCGCAATTACGACGCGTGCCACTGGATCTGACGGTAAACACGACTAGATCGGAGAAGCCTTGGCGTGAGTCGGCAGTCTATCGAAAGGGTCACTGCGGGGGTGTGACCTCACCGTTTTCTCTTTTTTCCAGTGTGACCTCACCGTTCACACGGCTGTCCACGATTGGAAGGTCGGACACTCCCTCTCCCTTTCTTTTGCTCGGTATCTTCCCCTGGTGCTTCAATATCGAGGCAAGTGCCGAGCGTGCCAAATTGCCAATTGAACTGTGTGTTTTGAGCCTTCGCGCGAGGAGAAACCGGTGTCGCCCTCGCTGCACTAGACATAATTTTTGTCTTTTTCATATTTTGTGAGCGGTGCGGCTACCTCGTGCCAAGAGTCGGAATGCATCTCAACAGCCGCTCTGTCCAGATGCATCCAAAATCTAGCCGCGTTCGGAAAGCGAGCGAAAACAGAAGAAACTTCTCTCTCCCCCGGTGATTTTCCTTGGACCTTGGTCGACCCCCGGGATCGCAAACTGAAGTGAATAAAGTTTCACTCCGTGCGTCGTAAAACACAGTCTCTCGTCAGTGGCAACATTCTAGAGGTAGCGGTGTGCGCGAGCTCGGAAGCGCTTCCATAGTCCGTGTGCGAGGAGATCCTCGAGTGCTTGGAAGTGCTTCCGTAGCCGGTGCGCAAGCAGCTCCTCGATTGCAAGTTGTGCGGTCTCGCGAGGAGTAGCTCTTCGTGTGTGTGGATCACCTCCTGTGTGACGGTGGATCAAGCGCTCCAGCGAGGATGGTGGTCAAGGTTGGCATCAATGGGTTCGGCCGAATTGGAAGGCTGGTCCTGAGGGCTTCCCTCAACCACCCCAACGTGCAGGTCGTKGCTGTGAACGACCCCTTCCTGGATCCCGAGTACATCGTCTACCTCTTCAAGTACGACACCGTGCACGGCAAGTACAAGGGCGAAGTCGGTCTGTCTGCTGACAASAAGCTGGTCGTCGATGGCAAGGAGATCGCCATCTTCGCTCTCAGAGACCCTGCGGCGATCCCATGGGGACAGGCAGGTGCCGAGTATGTGGTGGAGTCCACCGGCGTGTTCACGGACAAGGACAAGGCGGCTGCTCATCTGAAGGGCGGCGCCAAGAAGGTGGTCATCTCTGCTCCCTCTGGCAACGCCCCGATGTTCGTTATGGGCGTGAACGAGGAGAAGTACACGCCCGATCTGGACGTCATYTCCAACGCGAGCTGCACTACCAACTGCCTGGCGCCGCTGGCCAAGGTCATGAACGACAACTTCGGCATCGTCGAGGGCCTGATGACCACCGTACACGCCGTGACGGCCACGCAGAAGACGGTGGACGGGCCATCTGGCAAGGACTGGCGGGGCGGGCGCGGRGCCGGGTTCAACATCATTCCCAGCGGAACGGGCGCCGCGAAAGCSGTGGGCAAGGTTCTTCCCGAGCTGAATGGCAAGCTGACGGGCATGGCTTTCCGTATCCCCACGGCTGACGTGTCGGTGGTCGATCTGACGGTGAGGCTGGCGAAGAGCGCGACGTACGAGGAGATCAAGGCTGTGATTAAGAAGGCCTCGGAGGGCGATCTGAAGGGTATCTTGGGGTACACGGAGGACGATGTGGTGTCGTCCGATTTCATCGGCGATGTTAGGTCGAGCATCTTCGACGCCAAGGCGGGCATTGCCCTGAGCGGCAACTTCGTGAAACTGGTGTCCTGGTACGACAACGAGTGGGGATACTCCAACCGCGTGGTGGAGTTCATTGAGCACATCTCCAAAGCTTGATTAAGAGAGTGTGCATAGGTAGCAGGTATTTAGGAGTGTACATGGGATGTTGGCTTCGAGAGTATCGGCTGCACCATCGGCAGTCGCCGACCACGGAGCGTGGCGTATGCGATTTGGTTCGGCCGTTTCATTGTTGCGCGTTTTCGTTGCATTGTAGTTGGGTAGTCTGGGGATTAGGAAGGGTTTCAGGTTGAGCACCAATCAATTACATTAGGTCGTTTCTTCTTGATCGTTGATGATCCTGCTAGGATTGTGGTTGAATAGATGGAGTGGTAGTTAGGTTTAGTGGGTTCTCTTCTCGCTGCCTGCGCCAGTACTTCGGCGAGAACCGAGTCTTTTGTCGCACCTCAGTTTCTGTCATTTTCAGTCGTTTCCAGGGAGGAGAATGGCGGACGAAAGTCGGGAAGGGATGGTTAGCATTGGTATTTTAACCGCTTCTTGATGTTTCCTAACAGCGGTGTCTGTCTGTTAACTCGTCTTGTTCAGAGCGGCTGAAACTCAATTTCACACCGATCTCATTTCTGAGAGATTGTCTGTGTGACGGCTGCTCTTGGCGTCAGTGCACGTGTTTGGAAATGACGTTTTTCTTCCCCCTCGCGAAGACATGTATATGACGGGAAAACGGAACGGCGTCTTTGGTTCGTTTTCTGATGCTACAAGGGATCGAATAGATACAGAATAACGTTTTTTTTTTTTTCGCTTTTCTTTTATTTTTTTGAGGAAAAATGCCTTTGTCGGAGGCTGCCCATTACTGAAGGTTATGAGAGCATCCTCCAATAATGAAAAATATCCTCTCCAGACAGCTTCAGTCTATTGGTGGGACGGAACACCTGCTGTCCACCGGGCCCACTCATCAAAGTCTGACCATGGACGCGGCCAGATACATCCTGGAAAGAGCTGGTGCCAGTACGGCCTGGATCCTGTACTGAAGAGGGCTTAACTGCCTGTAACTAGACATAGTATGCCACTGAGTGCTATCTGAATGCTAACTGATGTAAACAAACCATTCAATAATAAGAATGAAAGAGGTAGGCGCTCATATGGTCGGATTTAGAGAATGGCAACAAGTATGCAGTCTAGTGGCTGCCCCTTCAAGAAAGAAAGAACAAGTGCAACGGGGCAACAGGTGTGTGGAGGGGTTTGTGGTTTTCCTTGGTTTGCTTTTCGGTTCGTACATCTTATTTTTGCGTTCTGGTGGTTGACAAGTGGCTATGGAAAAAACAAAACAAAAAAAAAAACGACGCACAGGAGGAAGGTCCATCTGCATCTCCAATCACCTTGCGAACTTCCCAGGGGCTATAGTAGACAGGTAGCAGTTTCTTAAAAACATTTTCTTCTAAGGAAAATTCTTAGATACATTTTCTTCTAAGGAATTTTTTTTAGATTTAACCTGAAGGTCTCCTTCTTGAAATTGTGAAGGTTGGCGATGTTTATTGGCCTGTTAAATCATTGATAGTTGGACTTTCTGTATGTTTTCCTTAACCGTCTTGATGTCTTCTTCATATGAAACTGCGAATTCACGTGTACCTGGGGCTAACCTCTGAATTTGGCCCCTTGTTAATGCATCAATGGGAAACCTCGGCTTCCATCCTCTATACAGTGCATTAGGCGTTGTACTTGTAACAATATTTATACTATTATTGTAGGTACCAGCAATCTTAGGCAAGTTCTCATCTCAATCTACCTTATCAGGTTGGACCTACATTCGCAAAAGTTATTGGCAAAGACAGTTCATTTGCTCAGTTTGGCCATTCGTTTCAGGATGTCTGCCTGACGACGTGGTCATTCTGATCCCATAGACTTCCATCCACTTCTGTCATTGTAGACTAGTGAACTGAACATCTCTATCAGAAACGATAGTTTTCGGGAATCCATACTCAGAAACCCATTGCATCTGAAACTTCTGGATAACCAGTTCGGTTCTAGTTTCGGCAGGCAAAGGAATGAACATAGCATACATTGCGAATCTATCTACGATGACCATTACCTGACTGTTGTCATTTCGACTCTTAGTGAGACTCATAAAGTCCATGGAAATAGAATCACCTGGTTCACTTGGAATAGGCAGCGGTTTCAGAAGTCCCGTCAGATTCTCATGTGAGGGTTTGTTCCTTTGACAGACAATACAAGTCCGCACGTAAGTTAGTACATCTTCCTTCATTTATTTCCATTCAAACGTTCACGCAAATCAGCATACGTCCTATAAATCTCCCACGGAGGGGACTGTGAGCAGCCATGATCGCGGCCGCGGCTGGGGCGACAAGGCCACGACCTCAAGGCCATAGCCGCGCCGCCACGCGACTTTGCGCTCGCGTAGCGCTCAGTGGGGGGGGGTGGGGGCGCGGTTTGGGACAGGACTGCCTGGAGGTGCTTGGTCTCAAGCTAGGTCCATGTACAACCAGCTTTTGTCAAGAGCAACAAATTTTGACGAGTTTTGGGGCAAAAAAACTCTGTTTCAATTTCGTTCAAAAAATAAAAGATGTTTATTTTGACGAAATGACAGTTGTACCAACGACTGGGGTGTTAGGTCGGGTGTCATACCTACAGGGGTCAACCGTGGTGTCAGACAGGGGGGGGGGGAACAATGAATTGTTTGATTGATTGATTTTGTGGTTTTTTTTGACACCCCGTATATCCAGACGCCTTCCTCGTTATGAAAAAATTCATTTGTTATCTTTTGTGATAAGCAGGTAGGGAAGACCCCCGCGACTGCGTGGATGAATTTTCAGACTTTTGTCATGTCATTTATAAGAAAACCTAAATTTGAAGCCTTTGTAATAAAATTTGTCACCCATGCATATAGTGCACGCCAGACTTACAAAAAAAAAAAAAAAAAAGGTTTTCTGATCCTCGGACGACCATTCCACCGGCCCGTCTGAATGGCAGAGTCCTTCCTAAACGGAATCTTGCCACATTCAAGGAGGCCGGTCTCTTTCCAATAATCTATACAAAGGACTAGTGCAACAATGTCTCGTATTGGAAACCTGGTCAGCGCACTATGACCAATTTTTTTAACCTTGTGCCACAATTCACCAAATGTGCAAAATAGAGCATGTGTCTTCCGATATAACATGGAAAGATATACACCCACCAAAACTTTTGTCTTTTTTACATTTTTTGCGTTGCGCGGCGAGGCCATTTAGAGCATACTTACAAATGGACCTGATAACCTAAAATTGCAAAATTGGAGATAAATTTTAGGTCACATTTGGTCCTTCCGTTACCTTTTTTTTTTTTTTTTTTTTTAATGGGAACAAGGCTCCAATCTATTCGTGGGGAGCAACACGTGTCGGAAACCGGGCGCAGCGTATAGAAATTTACATAGAATTGAAAGTATGAGATACCGGGACTATTACCCGACTTTGGCTAAGAAAAAATTGAAATACTCGAAAAAATTACTAAGATGAAATTCATAAATAGGCAAAATTCAAAAAACAACTCCCCATCAATACTTTTTACCTCAATCCGGCTAGACTTACTGCAGCAGAGTCACCATCTCCGCTGCTGCTGTACCCTATTAAGTCAATGGTTTACGAGGCTATGGGAGATAAGAATTTACAATTTTTTCATTTGATGTAAGGTGATTGAAGAAATTTGTGCATAAAGAAAATAACATAACGCGTTCTTTCAACATAAAAAAAAAAAAAAAACTTTGGTTTCCATATGGCAAGGAAGAGATTGTGTTTATCATGGTGAATATGCGATGAACGACATTGCTAAGTTACGTACTACTCTGACATTGAATCTACGTCCGTTGCTGGACAAGAACATACAATTTGTCCCCGAGTCTAAAGTAGATGAAGTTAGGAATGATGAAAGAGACGCCAAAAAGGCTCAAGACACTCAATCGATGAGCAAATCGAGGATGAATAGGAGAGCGATCCATAGGGTCCAAGCGTACAACCGCTATGGGAACTTTTTTATCTAGCTCTCCCGCTCCACATGTAGAAATTTGTTCTTGTAGACCTTGATATGAGTTATCTGTTCGGTTTGTGTGTCATCTTTGTCATTCTCCTCCAGCAACTTCTTGTAGACCCAGATCTGAGTTATCTGTTCTTGTAGACCCAGATCTGAGTTATATGTCCGGTTTTAAATTTGTAGACTCTAACAACTCTTTGAGTCAAATTTTTATTTGCGCAAGTCACTTGCTCTGTTGGTCTACTACTTAGTTTCTTCTTTCGCGGAACAATTCTATGTCAGTTGCATCAGTAGATCATTGAATCTTAGATGGTGTGAGTATGTAGTCCGCACTACACTCACGCACAATCCTATTGTTGGGATGCGCAATTACAAGCTTTATAAATGACTCCGAATAACTGACGTTTATCACTATGTCACACTCTCTCTCGATCTTGTTCATTCTTCTTAATGTCAACAGAATAAACAATCATAGGATGATTTTCTTCTTATCTCAACTCATGCTCAACTAGTCACAGAAGAATCAAAACAAGAACAAGAAGGTCAGACAAGGAAACATAGAGAGAATGAGTAAGGTGAAAAGATAGCAGCAGTTAAGTACGCAACCCCCTAAAAATGAGGTTGTTAGTGAAAAGTAAGGTATTCTCCAATAAGAGTAGAAGTTTAGCTTGTTTCGCTTCATCCTTTGGTCTCATCTCCGTCTCACTTCTGCATATTCTCAACGAGGGTGTGAAAAATGGTATTAGTTTATTTTCCATTGTTGCCAAAGGAGGATGCTTATGATGGGACTCATAGAAGCTAATTAAGAGAATGTTTGGGGCATCGGTTGCACTAGTACTTATGGACGTGACCAATTGAAGTATTTTAGAGGATGGTTTGAGATTGGTTATGTGGTTAATGTCGTATCTTGGGTCAGATTTTGCTCTCCTTCTTAAAATTTGAAACCTCTCATTTCGCGTTTGTTGAGTTATCTTAACGAAAAAAGATTTTTATGCGTTTGGCAGTGCCGTACCCGTGACCGTGACCGTAACCGGAACCGGTAATATGAACGTGACCGACCGTTCATCTGGTGTTTTTTTTGTGAACGGCCGTTCACGGTGAACGGGCCGACCACTAAAGAGTGGTGTTTTTTTTTTTTTTTTTTTTTTTTTTTTTTGGGCTCCCCCAGGTAATTTCCCCCAAACCCCCACAGGGGGAGAAAATTGAAAAAATAAAAAAAATCGAAATGACCTACAAAATAGCAAACGAAATTGCTTATTTTGACAGGTTGATTGTGAAAAAAAAAATTGAAAAAATTATAGGGAGTTACCCTTCGATGTCTCCCACCCTCCTATAAAAAAAAAACCATACCCCCCCAGCCAAAAAAAAAAAAAGACAAAAAAAAAACAAACCGCTCTCCGTGAACTCCATGAACTCCCGTGTCGTGAACGGGGTGAACTCCATGACCGGTCTCCGTCCACATACCCCGTGAACGGTGACCGGTGGTACGACACTGGTGTTTCGTATCCCAGTAATATGATACATGTCATTCCCTATGAATTTATTCACTGTTTTTTTAGAAAAGCTTCCAGGCAATCGCTTCGAGTGATATTATTCAATAATATCCGTCAGAAATTTAAATTATGTCTGCGAAGGCGCCT